TCGTTTACTTTATTCATACAGCATTACTATTACTTATCTTGATGAACCGACGATTGTGACGTGCGACGAGGCAATGCAACAAACGGATATGGACTCAGAAGAAGATGATATACCAAAAGAGGTTGTTAAAGAGGTTGTGGATTTTGAGAACAGACCTAAGTCTAACCTGGACGAAACTGAGATTGTCAACCTGGGAGATGCAGAAAATGTCAAAAAAATACGAATTAGCGTTCATCTATCCCCATCAGAAAAGAAAGAGTACACGGAATTTCGAAGGGAATATGAGGACATATTCGCCTGGTCTTATGATGACATGACTGGTCTCAGTACATCTATTGTAGCTCACAAACTACCAATCGATCCGACATGTCCACCAGTAAAACAGAATCTCAGGAAGTTCAAACCTGACATGAGTTTGAAAATCAAGGAAGAAGTCACTAAGCAAGTCAAAGCTAAGGTTCTCAGGGTAGTAGAGTATCCAACATGGTTAGCCAATATTGTTCCAGTGCCGAAGAAGGCCGGGAAGGTTAGAGTTTTTGTCGACTACCGGGATCTCAACCGGGCCAGTCCGAAAGACGACTTCCCCTTATCGAACATACACATTCTAATTGACAACTGCGCCAAGCATGAACTGCATTCATTTGTTGATTGTTTTGCTGGGTATCATCAGATATGGATGGATGAGGAAGACGCGGAGAAAACGGCTTTCATTACACCGTGGGGGATGTTTGCTACGAGATGTTGTCGTTCGGGTTAAAGAATTCTGGGGCCACCTATATGAGGGCCATGACAACTATTTTCCATGACATGATACACAAAGAGTCGAGGTATATGTAGACGACGTCATCATCAAATCCAAGAGAGCCAACGACCACATGGAAGATCTGAGGAAGTTCTTCAACAGACAAAGAAGGTACAACTTGAACCTGAATCCCGCCAAATGTGCATTCGGGGTTCCTGCCGGAAAACTACTTGGGTTCATTGTGAGTCTTCGAGGAATAGAACTGGATCCGTCAAAAATCAAAGCCATCCAAGAATTTCCACCACCGAAGAACAAGAAAGAGGTTATGAGTTTCTTGGGAAGACTTAACTACATCAGCCGGTTCATAGCTCAATCCACTATCATTTGTGGACCAATCTTTAAGATGTTAAAGAAGGACTCCGCTACCAAATGGACTGATGATTGTCAGAAAGCCTTCGACAGAATCAAGGAATACCTGTCAACGCCGCCAGTTTTGGTCTCGCCCGAGCAGGGTATACCTCTATTACTCTACCTTGTAGTATTGGATGGAGCTTTCGGTTGTGTTCTGGGGTAGCATGATGAAATAGGAAGAAAGGAGCAGGCCATCTATTATCTCAGCAAGAAGTTCACCCCGCACGAGGCCCGGTATTCTCTATTGGAACGCACCTGTTGTGCCCTGACTTGGGTAGCTCAGAAGTTGAGGCACTATTTCTGTGCCTATACTACTTATCTCATATCAAGAATGGATCCTTTGAAGTACATCTTTCAGAAGCCCATGCCCACTGGCAAGCTAGCCAAGTGGCAAATCCTGCTGAGCGAATTTGACATTGTTTATGTGACTTGGAAGGCAATCAAAGGACAAGCACTAGCAGATAATCTTGCTGAAAATCCCGTGGATGGAGAATACGAGCCTCTAAAGACGTATTTTCCTAATGAAGAGGTATCTTTCATAGGAGAAGACGTTGTAGAGTCCTATGACGGTTGGAGAATGTTTTTCGATAGAGCAGCAAATTTCAAAGGAGTTGGCATAGGAGCAGTCCTAGTATCAGAAACCGGTCAGCATTATCCGGTATCTGCCAAGCTCAGGTTCCCGTGCACCAACAACATGGCCGAGTACGAAGCCTGCATCTTAGGGCTCAAGATGGCCATTGACATGAACATTCAGGAATTGCTAGTGATCGGA